ACTACTCACTGCTGTGTGTGTGGATGGGATGGGATAAATGCAGAGCACAAATTCGTCATGTCACTTTCACTTTCTTCAACAAGATATGAATAACACTTTTGTGTTCAATGAAGAAAGAAAATCATGCAGGGTTGGAACGATATGAGGGTGAGTAAAAAAACTGAAAAACTGTGTTGTGATCAGTTCTGACCCTGAAGATACGGTTCGTTAAACTGACTGTGTGTAAATAAATGTTTTGTTCAGTTAGACAACCTGTGTCGAGTGTGTTATGTGCACCGTAATTCCAAATAATCAAGAAATGCGAGAGATCTGTTCTGCTGCTATACACAGTGAAAAGTCAGGAACTACTTGGAGCTTTAACTGCACATGATTCACTATAGGCTAGATTTCAGATTTACATCTCCCCTGACATTCTGGGGATGGATGTTTTGCTCTAATGGCATCTAGAAAGCAGATTACTCAAATAGTACATTACCCTCCACTTACATCTTGGGATTAAATCAGGCCGGTAAACCCTTTGATCTCTGTCATCACTTTTGAGAAGCCACCACTGCTGACCTCAGATCTCCTAATTATCATTTAATCCATCAGTGCATTCACACTGCCCTCTGGTGGTGGAGAGTTACCTGTTAAAGTGCTTGAAGTCAGTCTTGGTAGTGCTAAAGACTGGTTCCTGCACAAACGCCATTTGAGCCGTTTCCAGCTGTCTGTACAGTGCCTGATTAAAATCAAGAGAAGTGTGAGTCATTTCATTGGCCTAGAAGCTCTGGTGGAGAAAAAAATGCTGTCTGTGGAGTGCTACTGAATCCTCAAAACTACGAGAGCTATCCATTAAGATACTTTGCATGAATGAGCATTTTTTTAATATTGTTGTTTGAAATTCCCTACTCCCTAACATTTCAAAAATACATTTCTATTCTCCACCCTCAAAAAAAAAAAGGGCTCCCTAAGCTTACTCATAGTGCACAATTTACTCTTAAAAATAATTCTGGGTTCAATACAAATTAAAGAGATAGTTCATCCAAAAATCACCATTCTGTTATTCTCCCTCATGTCATTCCAAACATGTATGATCTTCTTTCCTCAGTGGAACATAAAAGAAGACTTTTTTTTGTCCATACAATGCAAGTCAATGTGTTTGGTTACCAACGTTCTTCAAAATATCTTCTTTTGTGTTTTGCAGAAGAAAGTAAAAGTCATGGAAGTTTCTAGTAATCCTGAAGACCTTAATTAGCTGGATCAGGTGTTTGATTAGGGTTGGAGCAAAACTGTGCAGAGCTGTAGCCCTCCAGTTTGAGACCACTGTTATGATAATTAATAATAATTTAATTAATAAAAATAATTATAATATATATATATATATATATATGTTATGAACTACAGTAACTTTTTTATGTCATGTTAGCTAATGTCTTCGTCTTTTTGTATTGTGTTAGCAAAATCATCTGCTGAAGTCTATTGCAGATATAGATAAGGCATCTACCTATACATATCTATAGAGCAAATGATGACAGAAAGATCATTTTTGTGTGAACTACCCCTTTAAGTTGAATCGACAGCATTTGTGGCATAATGTTGATTACTGAAAAAAAAAAAAAGATTTATCCCTCATTTTCAATCGGGATTATAGTGGGGCACTTACAATGGAAGTGAATAGGGTTGTTTTTTTTGGTTGTGAAAGCAGAAACAACTTTTAATTTTCATAAAAGCACTCACATTAATTCTCCTGTTAGATGTGCAATGTGTTATATCTTGCGGCTTTACATCTGAAACAGTGAGGACAAGTGGAAACTTTACCAGGGCCTACAATTTTCAGCCTCTTTATCTCACCTGCATCATGCTAAAGTGTTCAGACGGAGGTTCACGTGCTGCTGATTGACCTCTGTAGCGGTCCTGCATTTCACTGATGGGATTTGAGACCACTCTCACTGTTGGCCGGTCTCTGAGCTGTGGAGGATCAAACAGACACATATGAATGACATACATGAAGACAGAGTTCCAAAAACAGAATAAAAGAAGACATTCTCCAAAGAAAAACTCCCTTTTACACACACATCTTACCCTCTGGGCCAGCTCATTGAGGAAGTGTGTGGTCCAGTGCGCAGGGGCTTTAGAGTGGATTTCATTGTACAGAGGACCATTCAGTGGCTTTCTGTCATGCTCAGTGTGTGAGGTGAGAGAGAAGTGAGCAGAGGCCGGCACTCTGTTCTGACCGTGGACGACTGGAGGAAGAGGGGCATTCTGGGGCAGAGACAAGAAGGTAGTTGAAGGTATCACATCTGGTTTCTTTGGTTGTGTCCCATTAGGTCAGTCAACAAGAAAGGTTAAAGACTAGGCCACTTTTAAACTTGAGGTTTATGATGTTATGAGCATTATTTACTAACAAGGTCTTCCAAATCAAAGGTCTATATAAGACCACCACAAAAAAACAACATATTAACTTCGCAATTCTACAACTATTGCGTCTTTCAAACAGACTAAATTCTTTGTTAAATTGCTCAGTTTCATTTTTGGTCAAAGACGTTGTTGTAATAGCAAGCTGCCAACTTAACTGTAGTAACAAACTCTCTTGTAACTATGGTTACCATTTTTTTTTTTGTGTAAAAGTTAATAAAACAAACTTTGTTGGTAACCCAGTTTGATGTTCCTCGTGCCTACCTTACAAGTTTTAAAATAAAACGAAGAAGGTTGCAGATACGCATGTCCAATGGTTGTGCTGGTTTGGACCTTTCGTCTCTGGTTATCCATTCGCTTCATGCACTCCCTCGCAAAACTGAAAATAAACCACCAAATAGATACAGGAACTCCTGTCCGTCGAAAATTAGACAAGTGACATATTACTGATAAGACCCTTTATGTGTTTATTCATAGATAATGCTGCGCCCATCCATAGGAATCGAGTCTGCCTAGTTTACGCTTACCTGCTGCTATGGAAACGACCGCGCGTGCATGTGTACACAGAAATGAAAGTGTAACATTAAACAGTAACATTAAATATTGTCCTCGATCATATGTGAGTTTTCCGAGAAACGTTAACCTAAATAGTAAAGAAGTTGAAACAGAATAAAATACTTTTTTTTTTACTTTTAAAAATGTAGTTTCTGTAACTATTATATATAAATAGGCTAGTAGGCTTTTTTTATAGGCTACTATTTTCTTTATTTTTTTGTGAAAGCGGTCGTATTAAGGCCATTCACATTAGAAGTGAATTTAATAAAATCTATCAAAACAAGTACTATACCAGTCAAATTTCAAAAAAGAAAGAAAAATTACATTGTGATATTTTCATTATAATTAATCTCAATTTTTTATAACAATTAAATTACAATAAACCATAATGCAAAACAAATCCTCACTCTCATTATTACAAAAAGTGTAAAAATGAAAGGTATATGGTATATTAAAATAGCTATGATATTTTGTCAAAACTATGGTATCATGATAAATGTTTATAAACTGTGGGCATAAATCAACTCAGCATACTATTAAATTACATTGTTGGTTTTAATGTATGAATAAACATAAATAAACTCAAAAATTCAAGCATTGAACATAGGCACTATGACTGGCAGCACAAAGCCACTCACAGCAGCACACTTTAATGACGACCCTATTTGAGTGTGGCATGCTTTGTACGGAGCAATCCGTTCATGCTTAGTACAGAGCAATCAGTTCATTCAGGAAGTGTCTTTAACAGTTTGTGTACTCCTGATGTAGTTCACACAGAGCAGAACACATGATACAAGAATACTTATAGAAGTGGGATGCATAGCTTTAACTCTATTGTCAATGCATGTCTTCTGAAACACAGACTTGATATGTGAGTGAATGAATGATGGTCTAAGTAGGAGCCATCATGCCATTCAGTTCAGCAATAATCCTACTGCAAAAGACTAAGTCCTATAAGTACACACACTGTGTATTTGCACTAGCCAGACAATTTTTAAAGTTCTCTTCTGTGCTAACAGACACACACAACCCCCCTCGAGAATATCACAGGGTTCAGGTTCCACATAAGAATACAATAAAAAAATTTGACTCAAGACCAGATGCAGTATGCAGTCTCTCCAGGGAAAATAGTATATTTGAGGTCTACATGTTTTGAGATCGTTCCACTAACATATAAATAGCTAAGGGTAGTCTACACGGATCTCCTCTGGGTCTTCTGTCATCCAATAGGAGCAGAGAGGGTGGGAGAACGGACAGGTCAGTCAGAAGTTGAGACTGGTTAACCCCTGGATTCCAAAGACCTGTCGGTGAAAAGACAACGATGGGTGACATTTTTAAAATACAGATAGGCTACTTGCACATTCATGAGAATATCTCCTATTTCATTAAAGACATTTAACATGCCAATTACATTGTTTTGTTAATTCATTCAAATTTAACAGTCTGTTGTAAACACCATAATAAATACAAAATAAATGTCGTGAGATACACTCAGTAAGTGAATGCTTTTATTCAGTAAGGACGTATTAAATTTCAAATGGATCAAAAGTTACAGAAAAGGCATTTGTTACAAATGATTTCTATTATTTTTTTGTACTATTCATCAAAGAATCCTGAAAAAAATGTATCACACCTCTTTTCAACATTGATAATACAAAATGTTTCTTGAGCAGCAAATCAGCATATTGATTTCTGAAGGATCATGTGACACTGAAGACTGGAGTAATGATGCTGAAAATTCAGCGTTGCCATCACAGAAATAAATTACATTTGAAAATATATTAAAATACAAAACAGTTGTTTTAAATTGTAGTATTATTTCACATTTTTTAAATGTATATTTAATCGAATAAATGCAGCCTTGGTAAGCATAAAAGATCTTACCAACCCCAAAGTTTTGAACAGTAGTAGACCGTTCTGTGTATGACATCAAAGTACCACGAGAGCGATTAGACGGCATTTTTAAAAAATTTGTTTTGATGTCAAATAAGTTTTGCCGTTTTGCTTTTTTGTTAAAGCAGTGTTGCTGTTGTATGTTTTTGCTTTGTCAGTATGGTGTATGGAGTGTATACTGATGTGGGAAAAAAGTACTTTAAAGCAGTATAACATAAGGCAGCAACATAACAAAACGTGAAACAAAATGATTGTATTACATACAACAACAATAAAACAGTGCATTGACATAAAAAAGGAAATTTACTTTTGGTACTTAAGTACTTTTAAAAGCAAGTACTTCGGTACTTTTACTTAAGTAAAAATCTGTCTTTACAACTTTTACTTGTAATGGAGTAATATTTGACCAGCAGTATCTGTACTTTCACTCAAGTAATGGAATTGAGTACTTTGTCCGCCTCTGGTAGTGTATGACATTCGAACAAAACAAAAATGTCTCCTGATTAATGATCGGCTGAGAGATGGTGAGAAAAAGGTAGGAAAGGAAAAGAAAGTGATAGTCGCACTCACGAGTAGCTGGTATGTTGCTGGCGTCTCCTGGCACTTCTCATCTTCTCAAATCTGGCTTCCATCTCTTCGAGGACTTTAGGGGTGTAACGCACCACCAGCTTCACTGAACCCTGTGCTGCCTTTAGCAGCTCTACAGCTTTCTCATGATGTTCTCCCTCCACACTCTACACACAATAAAAAAATGAAGGACATTTTGAAGGCTGTTAATTCTGGCATTTTTGCTCTTAAAATCAAGGTCATGGTCATACACAGAAATATAAATTATACGACTCAAAACTCAATACTGGCCCAACATACCACTCCATTAACAGAGAGCAGCTGGTCTCCTCTCTTCAGACCACCCTGTCGGTCAGCAACACCCCCTGGGATGACCCTGGAGATGTAGATGGGAGAGTTTTGCTCTTTTCCACCCATGATGTTGAACCCAAGCCCCTCGTCTGTTTTAGGGAGCTCAACCACTCTTGGGTGTGCATGGCCTTCACTGGCTGCGAACGCTGCTACTGTGGCCTGGAAAAAGACAACAAATAAATGTCTTCATCAGTATATGATCATTCTTGATCAACAGTGGCAATTTTGGGGTAAAAAGGTACCTTTGCAGTGGCTTGTGCTCGGACCTCAGGCCCACCTACAATGTCCAATGTATCATAAAGCTGCTCATAGACCTAGAAAAGGGACAGTCATTTAACAACTCAAATATTTGTAGTTTACAGTTAGTTTGACTCATTTATAATTAATGAACCTAACAAACATTATCACATTACATACTGCTTTGCAGATCATTAATTAATATACATTCAAATAGCAGAAATGTCCTTAAAGTTTGATTCATATTTTCATGTGCATACATAATTCAATTAATGCAAACTACTGATGTCTTTAAACAATAATGTTTGTTACTGACTTCATAAGAGACGATAATGTACAATTGGTTGGTCATTATTGCAAAATAAACCCCCGCAGTATCACACAAGACCTTTCGGCTTTGGGTTTATTTAGTAAAAAAAATGACTGTGACTGTCCATTGTCTTGCTTACTACACAGATGTTGATTACTAAATAAATGGGCATTACACATTGATTTTAGTTGACAATTTATATTTACTTTGAGAAGAAAGAGACAAGATTAGATTAGATAGCTAATTATACATTTTAGAACTCACAAATATTTTCAGAATGCCATCGAACAAGAATCAAGAGCCATGTAATAATGAAAGTCATTGTGCAGTTTTCTTAGTTAATCCCATGTAAGATTTGTGAAGTAGAAGGCAAATTTTAGTGGAATGAATCACAGCCAAAGTAGACATACTGATCAAAATCTTGTCTTGCTATAATTTGTTATCTCTCAGCTACGCAAAGAGCAGGACATCTAAAGGACATGTGAAAACTGAGTAAGTCTGACAAGAGTATCATGTAGAATAGCTGTGCAAGTTGTGAACAGACTGGACTTCTGCTATCGAACCCCATTACTACAAATCAAGGAGTGAGATATGGAGGCTGAAGTGAGATGCCGTCTCAGAGAGACAGGAAAGGGAGTCATTCAGGAGGAGGAAAAGTGCAGCACAATTCGGTCTATGAGAAAAGACCATTCACGTGTGGAGGAGGAAGACGACAAAGTGCTGTCGTAAGTGCTTACGTGGTGACAACATTTGACTTCAAACCTTAATTTTATACCTAGCTATTTATGTTCCATTAGTGTTCTGTAAAATCAGCACATAAAAGGTACAAATTAGTAAATATTTTCACTGTTTTTTATCATATATTTTTGAAAAGAAGGCAACATGTTCCAAATGAACAGAATCCAGCAAACAGTTTTAACCGAAGTAAAGTCCTTATGTTTGTATGTACCTCTCGGATGGCAGCACAGAACTTGCTCTGTAAAACTCTCTGTAGAGCCTGGAGTTTGGGAGGAGGAAGTTCACCACTTCTCTGAAGTCTGTCCAACAATTCTATCACTCTGCAAACATCTGTCAGAAAATAAAACATTACAGAAACACTGTGCTGCTTGAAAGTTTCTGAACCCTTTACAATTTTCCGTATTTCTGCATAAATGACCCAAAACAATCAGATTTTCGCAAAAAGTCCTGAAAGTTGACAAAGAGAATCCAGTAAAACAAATGATACAAAAATATATATACTTTATCATTTATTTATTCAGGAAAATGATCTAATATTAAATATCTGTGAGTGGATCTCTAGGATTAGCAGTTCATTTGAAGGTGAAGTTAGAGTCTTTCTGTTCAGAGGTGTTTTCAGTCAGTGGGATGACTATCAGGTGTCAGTGTGCGCCCTGTTTTATTTTGAGAACAGGGATCTATCACAGTCTGATTAAGTGAATCATGGCACAAACAAAGGAGATCCCTGAGGATCTCAGAAAAGAGTTGCTGTTGCTCATCAGGGTAGAAAAAGTTACAAAGCCATCTCTAAAGAGTTTGGACTCCACCAATCCACAGTCAGAGAGATTGTGTACAAATTCAAGACCACTGTTACCCTCCCCAGGAGTGGCCGACCAACAAACATCACTCCAAAAGCAAGACATATATAATAGTCTGCGAGGTTGCAAAGGACCCCAGGGTAATTTCTAAGCAACTAAAGGCCTTTCTCACATTGGCTAATTATAATGTTCATGAGTCCACCATCAGGAGAACACTGAACAACCATGGTGTGCACGGCAGAGTTGTGAAGAGAAAGCCACTGCTCTCCTAAAAGATCATGTGGACAAGCCAGAGGGCTATTGGAGAAATGTTTTGTGGATGGATGGTGATAGTATCATGGTTTGGGCCTGTTTTGCTCCATCTGGGAAAGGAAGGCAGAGTTGAAGCAATTCTGTACTGAAGAATGGGCTAAAATGCCTGCAAGCGGTTGTGCAGGACTGATCAGCAGTTACAAGAAACATTTAGTTGCAGTTATTGCTACAAAAGTGGGTCACACCAGATACCGAAAGCAAAGATTCACATACTTTTGCCACTCACAGATATGCAACACTGGACCACTTTCTTGAATAAATAAATGACATTTTGATGATATTTTATACAAAGTATATATTTTTGTCTCTTTTGTTTTATTGGGTTCTCTTTGTCTACTTTCAGGACTGAAAATCTGATGAGGTTTTGGGTCACATTTATGCAGAAATATAGAAAATTCTAAAGGGTTCACAAACTTTCAAGCAGCACTGTATACATTAAAAAAAATACATACTCTAACAAAGTTAACCTGGTATGGAAAGTCAACTAGTCATGCAAAGTTCTGGTTATGCCCCCCGTTTTGGAACCAATGTGGTTTCAAGTAATTATGGCCATAACAATTACTTAAAAAAAAAAAAAACACTGTCTAATTCAATAACGGAGTTCACGGCCCGAATTAATGATAGATCAGATCATCCAGTGTTCTCAAGACAAATAAAACAAACGATTGAATACTATCAGCGACGATACCAATTAAGACATCTAAAGCAGGACAAAATAACATGGAAATATAGGCAAAATTACTTGCTGCCATGCCTCTCTCTATCCACAGATGACACGTATATATATATATTTTTTTTTTCAATGAATTTCAAGCATAGCAATACAAACACGAGCACCCTCTACTGGGGACATCCATTCATTCACATCGTGGGCACAAAGTGCCCCATTCAGTGCTCATTAGTATGGCCTGATTAAGACACAAGAGACGGTCAGTTCATTGGTACGGCTATCTGCCAGAGTATTTTCCAAACAGCACTTAATGAACAGAACCAAGTAAATTACCTCTTTCCAAGCAGAGCGGCTCCGTCATCGCCGCCATGACCAGCTCTTTCCCCGTATGATAATACGATGACATCATGAAGACCGTCTGCTGCAGTGGAGGACCGACGCGTTTTCAGCTTTCTTTTACCAGGGGCAGAATCGTAAGAGAACGTTTAGAAGCTGCAGGAAAGGGTTTTCGATTGTAAAAATCTAAATCAATCGTCTTCTGCAGGTTCGCAGTGAAAGGGCGAGATGCGCGAGGAGCCTGTGCTCTCGTACTAGCCGCTCACTGAATGACGCAATACAGTACGTCAGAGGCGCGAGTTCAACCAAAGCCTTTTAGTGTCTGAACGTTTGAGACAAGACTTCGAAATAAGGACTCAAGACAACCAGACAATAATTTGGCAATAAAAAGTATTTATTCAAGAATGAAAAGCATAACCAATACGACAAGAGATACAAGCAAAAAAAAAAGAAAAAAACAAAAAACAAAAAAAAAACAATTAAGAGCGATTTGTGAACCCATTGCAGATATTTGTATTAAAAAAAAAAACACATCTGTGTCAATGTTTGCTGCCTTTGTTACTATAGTAAAATTAGGCGCCACTGTACAATTTGCAAACGATCCACATATTGAACCAAATATGAAACAAAATGTACAAGACAAAAGAGAAAAAATAAAACTGCAGAGAAATTGGGGGGTGCAGATATAAAAGTAACGTTGTTCAGATAACATTACAAAGCAATAACCAATTACTCTTGTAAATCAACATGCATCTATGCAAATGGACATAACCGTACTAAACAACCCCAATCATGACAGTTACCCATCCCTCACTGAATAAACTACACTGTAACAAAATACAGTGCCTCAGTCAAGAGATCTCTTCCTAGCAGTGCAGTCACTTGATACTGAGCTGATGTTAGACAGGGAATTCAAATGCATCATAAGGCTAGCTATTTAGTGAAGTTTTATGTCTACAAAGCCCCACAAATTAAATAACTGGGGTCAAAAAAAAAAAAAAAAAGCTCACAGTTCAACTACATAATCTTTTGATTTTAACAAAGGATGCTTCTTACCAGGGAGACACTAAGCTCTCTGTGACAGCAGTTGGTAGTACAGTATAATACTTACACACGGTGGACATAGTGCAAGCAAATGGTGGAGGCATTAAATTATGGTAGAGGATATTTGTGAATTCAATCAACATTACAACTGGAGGACCTCGGATGATTCACACAATGGTGGCACTTCAGTACTCATCACCCTGGGCCTCCATCCTGTATCCATTCTCATTGGAGGCATAGCCCTCTCCTGACTGGATGGAATCCTGATCCATCATCATCATCCTCATCCCATCCTGTGAACCTTCTTCTGATTGTGGCGGCAACTGCTCTTCGCCCTCTTCACCTCCGTTACCCAAACCCTCCTGATCTCCTGAGGAGGACACGTGTCTGTCTTCCCTACGGTCCCCACGGTCCCGATCGCCCCGGTCCCGCTTGTGTTCACGCTCTCTATCCCTGTCTCTCCTTCTTTCCCGATCTCGGTCTCTATCTTTATCCCGGTGGCTGCGCTTCCTGTCACGGTCTCTCTCCCTGTCTTTGTCTCGATCCCTACCCCTCTCCTCTCCTTCGGGCCCTCCATCCTCACCTCGTCCTGGCTCACCACACAATGGGTCCTCCATACCCCTTTCTCCTCCTTCGGGCATCATGCCATCAGCTAGCCCGCCCATGCCTTCCTCTCCTCCATCCGCACCTTTCCCTCTCTCTCGGTCTCTCTTTCTATCCCTGCTCCTGCTTCTCCTCTTGCGGTCTCTTTCTCTATCTTGGTCTCTACTCCTCTCTCGGCTGCCTTCGGCAACACCTCGGTCTCGTTCCCTGTCTCGGCGCCTACTGCCACCTCCTGCCTCCTCCCCTGGAACCACGATGGCCCTCTCGCGCTCACGAGACCTGGTGCGCCTGCGTCTCTCTCGAGATCGTGAACGGCGGCGCTCACCACGGTCCCTCTCTCGGTCCCGACTGCGATCCCTGCGTTCACGATCCCGGTCACTGCAGGGTAAGAGACAACAGAGGTCAGGATTGGAAGACTGAAATGTACCTACTTAAAAAGACAATCATGCCCCTCTCAACTTACCTTCCAATTGGTCGGTCATCATAGCGGGAAGTGTCATCTCTGCCAGAGTGCTTGATGTTGACATCTGCCCCTCCTCTCCTTGTACCACCAAGACCTCCACCTGAACAGTGAAATAAATGTACAATGAAGACGTGAAGTAATACTTGCGATCACAACCACACTATCTTTACCAGGGGTGTGCAACTCTGGCCCTGGTGATCCACTGTCCTTCAGAGCTTTGCTCTAGAGCAGGGGTGTCCAATCCTGCTCCTGGAGGGCCACTATCCTGAAAACCAGCTAATAAGCATCCTCTGGATTACTAGCAACTTCAAGGAAATTGGGGCAGGCTGGAGCCAAACTCTACAGGACATTGGGCCTCCAGGAGCAGCACGGGACACCCAAAGCCTAGAAAAGAACACTTGATTAAGAAGAGAAAAAGAAATGCGCACCAAGTCTCCGGGGGTGCCATCCTTTGACCGTTCGTCCTCTTTCAACATCAACAAGCACTCTACGTCCATCAATCTTTTTGCCATCTGCATGCTTGTAGGCAGCTAGAGGAGTTGATAGACGAGCAGTAGAAAAGAGGAGATTGAGGGATGAAGGGAGTAAGGAGAATACAGAGAAAGAAAGAGTTGGACAATGAGAAACAAGAATACACACAACAGTATTTCCTGCTACATACCTTGAATTTGGGATGAACTTCATTCAAACATGTTAAGCTATTTATAGGCACTCGCTTACCTCTGAATGGATAAGCCACCAGTAATGAGTTAAATTGACAATACTGCCACCATCCATTCAAAAAAAATAAAAATAAATAAATAAAATAAAAAATTCCTCATGTTTACTTGATGATTACACCCTTAGAATGAGGCACACCAACAGATCTTACAAAAAACAGCTCTATTAAAAAAGCTGGACAGTAGTGACTAATGTTCATGATTTTGATAATAAATTTAAGCAAGACCGCATACCTTGAAATAACTTCAAAGCACAATGCTTCGGAAAAATCCTTTATATGAATTCAAATGTTTAATATGCTAATTTCATTTCACCAATAATACCTAAAGAAAATATTTCAAGTTTCTGAATACCTTAAATTTTATAATAACGTATTGGGGAATGTGAGAATGTAGGGCCCTATGATTTCCACGATGCAGAAAATGCAGACAGAATTGCAGAATCCCGTCATAAAAACAGTTTACTATCTAATGTGGAGCATCACGGAATTTGGCAAGTTTTGGATGGATACATCAAAAGTCAGTACACTTAAATCATAATGTGATGTGGACTAGTGTCTGTGAATATTAAGCCACAAAAATACCATTTAAATATGAATCCTGCATGTTCTGCTGGTCTTGGTGTGAATGAATGGTGCAGACGCAGTTTCATTTACTACACACATACTGAAGCGCACGTGACGCTCGCGGTGTTTTCAG